CAGGTATGGTAAAGGGCGAGGCTGGGCATAAGTAACATCTCTTAATTCCTTTCTACTGGTAAACCTGAGTCCATTATGTTACTACCAAAGTAGTTAGGTGTTCGTGAATGTAAGAATTCAAAATAGCATGGGGAAGGGACATACAAGCAACAAAAAAAGTCGTGTGGCACCTTATAAATATGTTAGCAAAAATAGTGTTTTCACTGTATTTGATGTTGGTATAATTTGGGGAGCAGAAGGGAGAAAAACAAATTGTTTAAATAGGGATACAGGTGGACCCATTGCAACAATGAAATGTACAAGACGCTATGTGGAAAAACAAACTTTATATTTAGGTGAGGGGGGATGGGGTGGGGAGGAAGGGGAGGATGTAGTTGTGGAGATGGGAAGTGAAGGGATGGTAGGGGAAAAACAAAGGAGGCAACAATGCTTGATAAGAAATGTACTCATTATCTTGCCCATGTAATTGTAACTCCTCTGTACAGTATTTTCACAATTAAAAAATGTGTGCAAAAAAAAGAAATGTACTCATTACCTTGATCATGTAACTGTAACCCCTGTGTACAGTATTTTCACAATAAAAAGCTTATAAAAAGAATTCAAAATAGCAATTCTGCCCAGCATCTAATGAGATCTTCTGAACAGACATTAAAGCCAATGAAGAGCTCTCTAGTTTTCTGGTAGTCACTCTTTGTTTTGTTCTAGTTTCTTGACACTACTGGGAAACATCATTGTGGCTATAAGTTTCTTTTAGTAATTTTAATTTGGGAACTCTAATGTCAATGATCACTTGCACTACTGAATCCTGCATAATCTGAGATATAATTAATGCAAAAAATTGCAACATGAGAGTAAGAGTAGATGTTGAGTGAAGACATCTTTTCTTTTGTCTCTGTTTCAAAACACATAGCATCATGATAATTTTAGCTTAGAAGTCATGGCCTCCACACTTATTTCTTTTTCTTTTTTCTTTTTTTGCCGGTTAGAGGGGCTGAACTCTGGGCCTGGGCACTGTCCCTCGGCTCTTCAGCTCGAGGCGAGCACTCTAACACTTGAGCCACAGCACCACTTCCAGCCTTTTCTGCTTATGTGGTGCTGAGAAATTGAACCTGGGGCCTCATGCATGCAAGGCAAGCACTCTACTACTGAGCCACCTTGCCAGCCCATCCACACTTATTACTTATTCTAGATCAAGCATGTTATTCATGGAGGATTACTTCATTATTAAAATTTTGAGAATTCTTTGTTTTAGATGAAATGTTCTGTCAGTTTTCAAGTACCTTCTCCTTGGCTTTAGCATGGCTATTTCCAGAGAAAACGTTTTACTTTTGATGAAGTACTATTCCAAAAAAAACTTTTCTGTCATGCATTATGCTTTTCTTGCCCTGTTCAAATATCCTTCACCAAATATTAGGTCCTAGAGATTTTTTCATTTTGCATTTCAATGTAAACTCATTATAAGAATATTTTACCTGATGCATAAAACATTATACTTGTACATATGTATGGGATTCTATAGATGTATCTATGTGTACATAGTGTAATGAGCACATCAAGTACATATCCAACATTTATCATTTATTTATATGAAAACATCCTCTTTTAGCATTCTGTTCAGTGTATCATGGTTACATATAATAGCACACCTGAACTTCCTATTCTTTTCTAAATGATTCTAAATAATCGGTCTCATTGTGTGGTATTAAGTTCAAGATCGTTTTTCTTAACTGGCTATGGACAATTACTTCAGTACCATTTGTGGAAAAGGCTATTCTGACTCTATCCTATTTTTTTGACCCAGACATATTTGTGAATGTATGCTTATTCATTCTCATTCTAGTATGGAGCCATACAATACATCATGAATTAGGTAGTGATTTCTCCCACTTTTCTTTCTTTTTCAGCTAAGTAGTTTCTTTGCTTTTCCATATACATTTCAGAAGAACCTTGTCTCATAGAAATTTTGTTAAGTTCAGTTATCAGCAATTTGGAGACACTTGACAGGTTTATGGTGTTGAACATCTCAATTCAGGTCCTCCATAGATCTCTTCATTTATTTAGATTTCTGAGTTCTTTCATTTATCTTTTGTAGTTTAGGAATTCAGTACTATAAATGTTTTGTCAAATTTACATTTAAACATTCCTTTTTCTAGGAAATTGGAATTATATTGTAATTTGGGTTTCTACATATTACTAGTTTGCTAGTATATGGAAATACAATTGATTTTTGTTAGGTTGATCTATTATTTTGATACCATGCTAACCATTAATTCTAGGAAGTCTTTTGTTTTTGCTTTAACTCAGGACCTGGGTACTGTCCTAAGCTTCTTTTGCTCAAGGCTAGCACTCTATTACTTAAGCCATAGTGCCACTTCCAACTTTTTCTGGTTATGTGGTACTGAGGAATCGAACCCAGAACTTCATGAATGCAAGACAAGCACTCTACCCCTGAATCACATTCCCAGCCAATTCTGTTAGTTTTTTGTTTTGTTGCTTCACACACACACACACACACACACACACACACACACACACACACACACACACACACAGCTCTACTATGTTTTCAATCTGTGTGTCTTGTATTTCCTTCCATTGCCTTGTTATGCTGTCTAGAAACTTTTATATTATGTTGAATAATAATGGCAAGATTCAATTGTTCCTGATTTTAGGAGAGTATGTTGTCTTCATCATCAAGTACAATGCTTTTTGGCTCCTCCCACTGGTGCTTCACCATTTGAAGCTTTTATTACTGGTTATTTGGAAATGGAGTATCATGGGCTTTTCTGCTTGGGTTGGACTCAAACTGTGATTCTCCAAATCTCAACCTCCTGAGTGGCTAGGATTACAGTAGTGAACTACCAGTGCTCTGCATAGTTCTACGCCTTTTGAAGATATTCTTATCGAATTTAGGAAGTTCCTGTTTAATTTTATGATAGTGTGATATTTCTTTGTGATTTTGTTAATTGGTGGTTTGTATTGATTGATTGATTGATATTTGAGTACTAAGTCACCCTTCTGATTGTTTATATTCTAATAAAGAAAAAAGGAAGGGGAAAAAACAAATTGTTTAAATAGGGATACAGGTGAACCCATTGCAACAATGAGATGTACAAGACGTTATGTTGAAAAACAAATTTAACAACTTTGGGGGAAGGGGGGAGGGAGAGGAAGATGGGAAGGGATGGGAAGGAGAAACAAAGGAGGAGGCAACAATGCTTGATAAGAAATGAACTTATTACCTTACCCATGTAATTGTAACCCCTCTCTCTGTACCGTATTTTCACTCACACACACACACACACACACACACACACACACACACACACACACACACTCCTTACAAACATGGGTACAAAAATTCTAAATGAAATTTTAGCAAGGTATATATTTCTTATTGTGGCAGTAACTAGTGGGGCCAGAAATTTCATTGTTTTAACACACAAAAAAACGAAGTATTCTCTGACAGTTTTGGAAGTTTAAAATTAAATGTCAATGAGCTAAAGTTAATGTGCTACAGGACTCGCTCTTACCAGATGCTCTAGGGAGAATCCGTTTCTGCCTTTTCCAGTCTCCAGAGAATACTTATGTCCTTTTACCCCTTCAGTAGTGTAGGTAGAATCTTCAAATTTCTGTCTGTCTGCTTCATTCTACAGGGCTCTCTCTCTTTCATACACATGCTCCACCTGGATTCTTATTTGTAAGAATTCATGTAGAATCTTTCTACTCAAGATCCTTACGTTAATAATACTTGCAAAGTCCCTTTAGGCATATAAAGTAAAAATTATAGTTCTAGGATATAAGAGATGAACATCTTGATAAGCTATTTTTCAGCCTACCACATTTTCTATTATACTATTGTTTTGGCCTAGATTTCAGAATGACAGTAGAAATTTTATTTTTATCTTGGTAACAAAATTCCACTGTGATAAGCTATTACACTTCAAATTTTATAATTTTTCTAACTGATGCTTTTCAAGTTGATAAAATGAACTTGAGTGCTTAGTCTGGTAATGTCTATGTACATTACATTCTTTCTAGCATAGGCATACTGTTATTAAAAAACAAATACACTGCTTTGCATGTAATTTAATAGCAAAAGTCCAATACTTTTCATAATGTTTCAAAACTGTGAATTTTTAATTGCCATTTTCTTTTCTTGCTTTGTCATGATGAGTATGTACTGATATTAAAAAAAAATTGAAGTCAGTATTTTCAGCCCTTGAAAAGCTTTCAAGTTATAACTGTATCATTGTAAAGTATGTCCAGCAAGAGTGGAGAAAACATTGCATTGAATCTCTGTCATAACTGTTCAGCGCCACAAACAGTACATAAATGAATGAACATCACTGTGTACCAGTAAACTTTATTGATAGACATTAAAATTTGCTTTGCAGATAATTTTCAGACTACAAAATATTATTCTCTAAAAAACCCATTTAAATATGTAAAACCATTCTTAGCTTTTGAGCTAAAAATAAAAATAGATGGCAAGCCAGATTTAGTCTTAAGTCATTATTTACCAACCCCTGCCTTATTCTCATTCAACCTACATTCTAAAGTGGTGTGGGGGAGAGTTACAACAAGAATAAAAATAAAGGAAGAGGTAAAAACAGATACTATTATGTTTTAAAAATATTAACAATAAGATGGCTCAGGAATATATTTGTGAAAGAATGTGTAAGGTATACCTAAATGATGAGACAAAGCCAGCCATGAGGAATGTGAAACCCAGACTAATCCAGAAAGAGAAAATAGTAAAGTATGTGAGGTAAAAGTTTGGTGAATTAGAGAACTAAAAGTGACTATCAGGAACATAGTGAAGATATGAAATGAGTTGTGAAGAAATAGAAAGTATTAGAAATAATAGAAGGAATAGAAATAAGGATTATAAAATCATAGTCAAAGTGACTAATTAGTCGACTATAGTAGTTCTGTTACATATAGGCTAACGTTTGTGGTCTCTTGTTAATTTACATCATTAAATAAAGTATAGTAAATTTTAAAATGTGAAAGGAGAAAACTTTTTATTGTTGTCAAATAGCTCGAGAAAAAATACAGCATCTTGTATAAAAGCTAGCATATCAATGAGAATAGACACAACTGAACCATGCAATTTATTTCACTAAATGCTCATCCATAAATTATGATGCATCATTTTATATTTGTTTACAATACAAATATGTAGCTCACTGGATCATTTAAGGCTATTTATAGCAGTTTTTTGCAAAAAGTCCAGTTCTCATATAAAATTAAAACATTTAAATAATTTGTTTTTCATTCTTTTTACTTTTATTCAGATCTAGTTGAGTGTGCCAAGCTTGTTCTATTTTTTACTAATATACTGGAAGGAAAAATCAGTTTTGAGTTTGCCTTGATTTGTGGCAATATTTGTACTCAACAATCAAATGCTACACTATTTCCTTTTAAATGGCTATGTACTTAATTAAAACTTGTTCAGCAATTAATTAGTCAGAGACTTCTTATTTTAGTATTGAACCTGAATATTGATAGCTGCAACAGTTACTGTATCCAAATTGCAACCCATGTTTTCAATCACACCACATAAAGTTTTCATATTTGAAAAAAAAGCTGATCATTATAATACCATCAAATATCTTTCACAATTGTGAAACAGCCTTCAACTAGTTTCCTGTGTTCATTTATTTTCTCCAGTACTGCTTCTAATAAATATGAGGCAAAAGGAAGCTGTAAGAGAAACACAAAAAAGGTAATCAAAACCCTGTATTTTCCTCAGCTAAAAAACATACACTAAACATCATTAAGCCATCAGAATTCAGGTATCTGTAATCTTGTACCCATAATGTACCATACTAGATTTCTTTTCAGCTGATCTTTCTGGTTAGTGTGGGCAATTTTGTCTTTTCTAATAAAAATGATAAAAGAGCAGAAGTAAAATGAAAAAAGATAAACGCCTTATTGAACAATTCATGGTTTACTGACCATGTTAATGATGTAATCTGCAATACAAGCAGCTAAGTCATTTATCTTCAATCAGCTGATCAATAGCAGGTTACAGTCATCTCTAGGGCACAAAGGCCTACAGAAGTAGTACTGTATGTTCATCACTCATAAAAGAATGAGAGCGAACCATCAATACACTTGTCTATGAGAGAGCTGAACATCTCAAGAGTTGCAGGATAAAACTTCAGAGGGAAAAAAAATGGCAAAAGTATACCCATTGATTAAGTTGTTAAAGTTTGTTTGGTATATCAAAGTGTAATACACATGTTTCAAAAACTGCTGAGTTTATGAAATGTGAGTACATTTTAAAATTTCATAATTGATATAACTTTTCTGGTAGTTTCACTGTGCCCTCTGCATCACTGGCTTGCTGATAGAATTCATAATCATACAATACAGGTATAAGCTATAGGTAAAAGACATATGAAATGTTACCTCAATTACCTCCCATATTCCTAATAACTTTCTTTGTTCCTTGTTCCTATTGATCTAGTCTTACCTAAGAGATATGTCATAATTTTAAAAGTTCATTAAATATTTCTTGGATGTATCCTTTTGATTAACTAGGTAATGACATCTGTGTTCCATCCCTGAACATATAAAAGGGTCTAGGCTTATCAAGCCTACTTCCCCACAGGGAAGAGGCATCAAGCCAATTTTTTTCTGCTATGATGATCACTAATGACATCACTGGTCAGAATGTTACCTAAGATAGTCTGATGTCCTCTGAATAGGCTGCTCAGCTAAGATGATTACAGTTTAACCAAATAAAATCATTGGAAAGAGAAAATCTTGACCTGGCAGTGAAAGTACAGGGCAGAGAAACCAAACAAACAGAAGAGAATAGATCAGAGCTGGTACCAGAACTTTTTTTTTTCTGAACTAGCCTTTAACTGTGATTTTCCCAATCTCAGCCTTCCAAGTAGCTAAGATTACAAGCATGAGCCTTCACTTCTTTTTTGTACAGAGGCTAACATCTGAGTTTCAAAAATCAGTAAAACCTTAAGTCAACAAGATGTACACTATATATGAGCACAGCTATTTATCCTTTACAATTTTGTCTGTAGATATCTCAGAATAATATTGTTCTTATATAATTTGACATAATATTGATTTTTAATATAATTTGACATAAAAGTTCTATATTTACAAGTCAGTATAATGTTTAGTTCATTTTTTTCAATTTCCCTTGTTTTTTGTTTTTTGGGTTTTTTTTTATACTGAGACTAAAACCTAGCCATTGCCTTGTATTCATCAATGAGTCCACAATCCTAGATTTCTTTGTAATCAACCTACCCTGAATGTTTTTTCTCTTAACACAGAATCAAGATTGCTCTTTGTAAATTTGAGGTGTACTAGTAATTGCTGATCTAGTGCATAGTGGTCTTTCAAAAATTACTTAAAAATATATAAGGCTTAATCATCATCAATATAATTTGCTAATACAAATTAATGTAATTTCATAATAGGTAATTGAAGATTAGGAGACAAATAAGGACAAGTTAGAATTATTTTGTAAAAACCTAAGTCATTTCATTTATGACTGACTGGTTTTATATTTATTTTACCCATTATAACATCACGTAGCTATTCACCTGCAACACCATTAAGCTTTATTCTTTTTTCTTTTTTTTTTGGTGGTATTGGGCTTTGAATCCAGGGCCTTGTGCTTGTAAGGCATTTGTACCATGCCCTTACTCCTACATAAGTTGTTTTCAAATGAATACGATTTAATGTAACTATCAACAAAAGTTCCACAGATGCCCCTTCTATTTGACAAATAGTTCTTGCTTGATGATATGTAACATACACCTCAACTGCTTTAGTTTTTAAAATAGCCTCTCTTACTAAGTTTATTTTACTCATTTATTTAGCAAAATTTTAGGGCTTGAACTGAGGGCGTATAGTGAGATTGCTCTGTTTTTCTGCTCACAGCTGGTACTGACTTGAACCATGCCTCCAGTACTTGCTTTTGGTAGTTAAATGGAGATAAGAGGCTCCAGATTTATCTGCCTAGCCTTGCTTGGAACTTTGATTCTCAGATTCAGCCTTGTGAGCAGCTAGGATTATAGGCATGAGCCATCAATGCCTGGTTATTTGTGATGCTTTTAAAAGTGTAAAATGTTGTCAAAAACCAGGAGACTTGAAGTCTGTTTCTGGAGTCAAGAATAAGTGCTAATTTAGATCCAATAGGCAGTTCATAATCAACTGCATTTAGGTCCAGCACATTCTTAAAGGACAACAAACCTCCCCAGAAATCCCACTGATGTAGAAAACACAACTACCTTTGTAGTAACAAGATTTTAGAGTTGAATTTAAGTAACAAACATTTTATTAATCCCATCCTATCAAATACATTAGAAATAACAAACCCAACAGTTATATTGCCTTGGTTTTATTTTGAAATTCACATGTTATTACAAAATCCTGAAAGCCTGATTGGTTTCTTTGTTTTTGATAAAAAAGGAGAAGAAATATTCCTGGTCATATCAGTACAGTTATGCCAGTTTCATCTCTCTAGCATAAAGGAGAAAAATGGCAAAGATATGATATTGAGTGAGATTCCTCGATACTAAATTTAGCTGGGATGTTTGAACAACTAAAAATTTTGCTTGGCCTATACATAGTCATGGAGCAGTGACCAAGCCCTGAGTTCAGACCCCAGGATTAGCCAAAAAAAAAGAAAGAAAGAAAAGAAAAATAACAAAGCACAATGTCCATAACTATAAAACACACAGATATCTTGCATCACTTCTACCTCTAATATGTTCATTAAATGAGGATAACTCTTAAATCTGAAAAAAAAAGTTTAATGCTTTCATTCTTATTTTGGGTTTGAAAACTATCACTAGACAACGTTACATTTTGAATTTTATCTAGCTTGAGTATATTCAAAGTGAAAATGTAAAATTTTATGTAGTATAGTTGTTTTACAAAAAGGATCTGTATAAAGGGAACCTTACTGCATTGTTGGTGGGAGTGTAAACTTGTCCAACCACTTTGGAAAGCAGTATGGAGGTTCCTCAAAAGACTCCACACAGAGCTCCCCTATGACCCAGCAATCCCACTTTTGGGTATTTACCCAAATGATTACAAACAAGACCACACTAAAGCTACCAGCACGACTATGTTTATTACAGCATTATTTACATAGCTAAGATATGGAACCAACCCAGATACCCTTCAGTAGATGCATGGATCAAGAAAATGTGGTATATATACACAATGGAATTCTATGCCTCCATCAGAAAGAATGACATTGCCCCATTTGTTAGGAAATGGAAAGACTTGGAATAAATTGTATTAAGTAAAGTAAGCCAGGCCCAAAGAAACATAGGTCCCATGGTTTCCCTTATTTGCAATAACTAGTATATGTCTGTGTCAAGCAGAAAAGGTCAGATAAGTTGATGTTAGGAGAATGAACCCCAAGATAAGTATTCAAATATTTTTTTGTTTTTTTCCTTTCATGCAATTGTTTCTAACATATTTATAAGATGATTTCTATGTTGCTTTATATGTCTCTCCCCCACGGTATAACCCCTGCATTCACTGTATTTGATGTTGGCATAATTTGTGGAGGGGAAGGAAAAAAAACAGATCATTTAACAGGGATACAGGTGGACCCATTGCAATAATGAGATGTACAAGTCGTTATGTTGAAAAACGAATTTTACAACACTGGTGGGGGGGGGGTGGGGGGGAGGGTTGGGTAGGGGGTGGGGGGAGTATGGGAAGGGATGGGAAGGGGAAACAAAGAGGAGGCAACAATGCTTGATAAGAAATGTACTCGTTATCTTGCCCATGTAATTGTAACTCCTCTGTGTGGTATTCTCACAATAAAAAATAAAAGGAGCTGTATTGTGTTCTGAGACTTTTCATAAGAAATATAGCTTGAATAATATACATTAAAAGTGCACAACTGTAACAGTTATGCATTTATTTTATATATACATACTCATGCACACAGATGTATCTAGGTGAACAGAGGCTGACTTTGAAATTAAAAGACTGAAACAATAAAGGATGCTATCAAAGTGAACACTTCATTTGTAATTAAAATTTGGCACTAAATTTTGATATATGTTTCCTAAATGTCATTTACATTTCTGCCATATATCCCAAAAGATACGTCCCAATAGAAAGTCTCTTGGAGTATTGCCAAAAACTGACAGAGAGGGCTATGTTTTCTTCTTCGAAACTCTGGTAAAGACTGTAATTTGTCTTCCCTTTAACTTAAAAAAAATAAAAATAAGCCGGGCACTTGTGGTTCACGCCTGTAATCCTAGCTACTCAGGAGGCTGAGCTCGGAGGATCAAGGATAAAAGCCAGCCCTGGCAGGAAAGTCCGTGAAACTCTTTTCTCCAATAAACTACCAGAAAACAGGGAAGTGGTGCTGTAGCTCAAGTGATAGAGCAATAGCCTTGAGCTGAAGAGCTGAGGGACAGCACCCAGGCCCAGAGTTCAAGCCCTATAACCAACAAAAATAAATAAATAAATAAAAGCATTAAATGAAAAAGTTAATTTGTTTCTTCTTTTTCTTCAAGAAATGTTTCCATAATATTTAAAGCAAATAGATGATCCTTACACATTTGTAAAATTCTTGAGAGAGGGTGGCCCTTGTTAAGATACTTCAGGATTTAGTAAAAGGAACAATCGGTAAGTTCTTTGTGACCCTGATATATTGTATGAGATAGAAGAGAAATGTTTGAACATTTAATTAGCTT